AGCTTCCTTTGGTTCTCAGTTACTTAATAAACCTCGAAGTGTTAAAAACAAAAAAATAAAAGAAGAACACGATAATTGATTTTGCAGAATAAATTGTGAAATCCCTCACATTAATTTTGTTTTCCTCTGCAAAGCTGCGAATAATCTGAAAAGAAATGGGCCTTTTTAGTATATATAATCAAAAATGTTAATGGGCCTATGAAGAATCAGGAAGAGGCCTATTAGCCCATTCTTAGGTGATATGTAACGTCCCACATCGCTTGTGCGAGAAGACGAAGCTGTGTTTATGTATCGATGGAGTCGAAGTAGTGTTCGTCCCTTCGGGGACATCCGATAAAATTGGAACGATACAGAGAAGATTAGCATGGCCCCTGCGCAAGGATGACACGCACAAATCGAGAAATGGTCCAAATTTTTTTTTGCTTTTTTTCCCCAAATCGATCCTCAAACCCTAGAAATTTCAATTTTTTTTGTTGTTGTTGCAGCTCTGATTTTCGTTCTCCAGTTGATCTCTTCTTCATTTATGGTAAGTTTTAAACTCTTATGCTTCTGATTTATTCTGCAACAAAAAGTTTAAGCTCGATCGATGAAGTCGTTACTTTTGATTCAGTTTAGGACTAAACAAAAGCAGTGAAAAGCCCTCTCTTTGTTTTCTCGGTTGGTGCATTGGTCTTGATGCTGCAATATCTCTATTGGGTCCTTTTTAGGTTTTTGTCAATCTCTTAACAATGTCATAAAAGATTAAGACTTTGATGCTGGTTTGGTGTTGAAAAGGGTTCGAATCTCCTGTCTGAATCAAATTTTATTCATTGGATAGGAAAAGGGTTTTGGAGGAATGAGGAATAGGAAGCTGGTGTGAGATCAGAGACGCATTAGCTTGAAGCCTCGGATTGATGGTTCAATTGCCTTTAGATCATGTTTCAGCTTCAAGCTCAGAAGAATCAATTGATTACTTTGTAGATTCACATTTCAGAAATTCTCTGAATTTATGGGCAACGCAAAGTCTTCATAGTCTCCTTAGCTCAAGTTACCTCAGGGACGAAAGGTGATAGTCATAGGATGGTGAGGAATTTGCAGGCTAATGTACCAACCAAGAAGTTAGCAACATGTTCTACTTGACTCAGGTTGTGTTTTATCCCTGTGAGAATCAGGTATATTACTACTAGCCAATGAGCTTGATTCTTATGGTTTCACCTATTTAGTCTTCAAGATACTAAAATGACTAACTCCTTTTTGTTGTACTAATCATTTATCAGGACAACCACTTGCCTCTTGTGGTTATGGAGCTCCAGAATTCGGCTCATGAATCTGTAAATGGCAGAAACAACAAGAACAACAAAGACAGACGATTAAGTTGATTTTTTTCATTCTCCAAGTCTTTCCTTGTTCTAGTTATGGGTTCAAGCTATAGAAAGAGACCCCAGGTGCTTTGTAATCGATACCTTATTTTTGATTAATACACAGAGCTTTTGAAAGACTCTTCTCTTACCTTAAACCACGGATATTCAGCGG